TATACGATTGGAACTCAAATGGACAATTCATGGTAACTTACAACCATCTGTATACAAGTGTATTTGATATCATTATTTCATTCTACGTCGAGCATGACAAGGCTTCTCAAAGAGTTGATAGTATGGTTGTCGTTGCAAGTTCAGCAAGCAAGTTCTTGGATCATTAAGACAGCACAGTTCCACAGTTTCAACTCATTCTCGTGTCCCGATATGCATTTCCACCACCACTAACGTTCAGTAATGTGTATCCCTTTGTGTTGCTTCTCAATGTCTACATATTTGCATGTTTGTGTGAGGCTCAAATAATTGCCCATTGTTTTCATTCGCTTTTACTTTTTGAAAGGGCTACTTATTGCACACTGTGCTATATAGTCGATGGTAACGTTTAGCACCTGTTTATCAGGCACCGTTTAGAGTAGGTTGCTTGTATCACAATCATATTTCAGCATGTCGTGAGTTATTTCGTCCTTCTTGCTGTTTGAAATCAACCCTCCCTCTCCTACCATTATTTGTTATTCTTGTTTGAATTTCATGGCACCTTCCCATGTGCTTGGTAACTAGTGTTTCACCGTATCCCTTTTTAACACATTTGAAGCCTTTTTTATGTAAACTTACCACCCGTAAAACCCTTCGCATGTTTTACCATAAGGTATCTTAACCACAATGCGCTGACTAGGTCCATTCCATCCACCATCAGCAACATGACAAACCTCGAAGACTTGTGAGCAACATCAAGAGATTATAAAGAGAGCCAACATGACCGCTCACAAGTTTAAACTCATTCTCGTGTCCTGCTATGCATTTCTACCACCACTAACATTTTGTAATGTTTATCCCTTCGTGTTCCTTCTGAATGTCCACATATTTGCATGTTTGTGTGAGGCTCAAATCATTGCCCATTGTTTTCACTTGTTAAAAGGGCTGTTTCTTGCAGCACTGTTTATAAAGTGTGCTGTTTTTCACTAGGAATATTTTCTTGCTGTATTCAATGTTTCTTTCCACCCATAAACCCCTTTGTATGTTGTGTCATCAGGTTTCTTAACAACAATTCTCTGAGTGGGTCTATTCCATCTGCCATCGGCAACATGAGAAACCTCTTTTGGTTGTGAGTATTATGAAGGGAATGGAAAGAGAGCCAACATAACCTCGCACAGGTTCAGAAATTAGAGGGCCTGCAATGGCAACACCAAGTCAACTTGATTTGAGAACGAGCATACATGCTAGGCATGACCACTGTACACGCTCACAAGTTTCAACTCATTCTCGTGTCCTGATATGCATTTCCACTACCACTAACGTTTTGTAATGTGTATCCCTTTGTGTTGCTTCTCAATGTCTACATATTTGCATGTTTGTGTGAGGCTCAAATAATTGCCCATTGTTTTCATTCGCTTTTACTTTTTGAAAGGGCTACTTCTTGTACACTGTGCTATATAGTCGATGGTAACATTTAGCACCTGTTTATCAGGCACCGTTTAGAGTAGGTAGCTTTGTATCACAATCATATTTCAGCATGTCATGAGTTCTTTAGTCCTTCTTGCTTTTTTATATCAATCTTCCCTCTCCTACCAGTTGATTCATTTGTTATTCTTGTTTGAATTTTATGGCACCTTCCCATGTGCTTGGTAACTAGTGTTTTGCTGTATCTTTTTTAAACACATTTGAAGCCCTATTTATGTAATCTTACCACCCACAAAACACTTCGCATGTTTTACCATAAGGTATCTTAACCACAATGCGCTGACTGGGCCGATTCCATCCACCATCGGCAACATGACAAACCTCGAAGTCTTGTAAGTAACATCAAGAGATCATAAAGAGAGCCAACATGACAACTCACGTGCTCATAAATAAGAGGCCCAGAGCTGGCAGTTAAGAAAATGTCTGGTCTTTGCTCAACTTGACACAACTCCCAACTCGACTTCCACTCTAAGTGACTTGAATCGACTCAACTCATGAGCATGTCCGACCCACGTTGTACCTATCCCAGAAAGGGAGACTCCAGAAAATGCATCTGCATTGAAGAGTAAACAGCTTCGACTTATTCAAACCGTAACCCACATGTGTCCAACGCGACTCATGAGTCAGGTGTTGCGGGTCTCGATCGGACGGGAACAGGAATTTTCTGAAGACCAGAACCCAGCAGGACTTATTGTAGTTGTCATAATCTTCCCAACGCGGGGTTTGACTAGCTTGATCCTAGGCTTGTTCAAAACGTGGATTCACCCTAAGTTTATCAGTTTCAAGGGTGAACTGGGGCCTGCCCTTGGCTATATAGTCGATGGTAACGTTTAGCACCTGTTTATCAGGCACCGTTTAGAGTAGGTAGCTTGTATCACAATCATATTTCAGCATGTCATGAGTTCTTTAGTCCTTTTTGCTTTTTTATATCAATCTTCCCTCTCCTACCAGTTGATTCATTTGTTATTCTTGTTTGAATTTTATGGCACCTTCCCATGTGCTTGGTAACTAGTGTTTCACCGTATCTTTTTTTTTAACACATTTGAAGCCCTATTTATGTAATCTTACCACCCGCAAAACACTTTGCATGTTTTACCATAAGGTATCTTAACCACAATGCGCTGATTGGGTCCGTTCCATCCACCATCAGCAACATGACAAACCTCGAAGTCTTGTGAGTAACATCAAGAGATCATAAAGAGAGCCAACATGACCGCTCACATGCTCATAAATAAGAGGCCCAGAGCTGGCAGTTAAGAAAACGTCTGGTCTCGGTCGGACGGGAACAGGATTTTACTGAAGACCAGAACCCAGCAGGACTTATTGTAGTTGTCATAATCTTCCCAACGCAGGGTTTGACTAGCTTGATCCTAGGCTTGTTCAAAACGTGGATTCACTTTTGGTTTATCAGTTTTAAGGGTGAACTGGGGCCTACCCTTGGCTATGACTAATGAGAGGGGTTGCAATGCAAGCATGAGCAGCCTAACAAGTGGTTCGTGCCTTTATGCACTCTTGCTTTGATACTTCAACATCACTCTTTCCCAGGTTTACGTGAGCATGGTTTTCAGCCATGCCTCAGGACACCGTAAGGAACTCATAATGCATGCATTGTGTAACACAATGTCGGGTCACTTGAGCTCATTAAGAGATCTTGCACTGGCTATAGGCTGGAGGTATATATAAAACCTAGTGCCAAATTGTGACTTCTTTGGCTTAACCTTCTTCGGCCCAACAAACATCCTATGTTGATTTTGAAATGTGTTTTGCCTGGTTGGGAAATATCTCACATGAAGCTGGTTATGCATCTCATGCTTGACTGGACTCTGTCACCTTGGGTGAACAAAAATCTCTATTGCAACTTAACCATGTTGACCTGGAATAGCCTAATAGGATATGCATCCCCTGCCACAATCCACGGCTTTTCCATCTCCTCTGACTGTCTCCTAACATCAACCAATCTTTGGTTTATTCCTTTGTGTTTCCATCCCTGTACAGGTAAAATCTCTTGCATGTATGCACGGTTAGGTATCTTGTTAGCAATGCTTTGACTGTTTCTATTCTGTCTTTTATCTGTTATTTCCATCCATTGCAGTGACGTCAGCCAGAACAACCTCACGGGCCAACTCCCTCCAAAAATAGGCATCCTCAAACTTCTCTCAAAGCTGTAAGGCACTTTAGCATTGTAGAAATGCTTGAGAAATATGTGCGTAACCGAAGCGAGGCAAGCGGATACAAGCAAAACATGAACCAATTGACAGAATTCGAAGAGGGCTAGCTTGGAGGCGACTTGGGCTGGTGCAAGTGAAGAAACTGTTCCCCAATGGACTTGGGGTGCCAAATGGATGCTCAACTCACCCAGAGTCGAGATAGGGATGTGGGTAACAAAGTTTGCCAAAGCGCGTTTCCAATGTTGGACTTCGTGGATCCAGGCTGGAACCGCGTACTCAAGGTTGAGAAACATGCTTAATTGGGGTACCTAGCTGTTGATAAAATTTACTCGAGGAACACCCTATAACTAATATGACCAAACTTTAATGTCTACACTAATTCTATGTACACAGGATATATGTAATTAGACATACACAGGATACATGTTAGACACGAACACGAGGGCAAGCACCTGCTCGGTGCGCCTCGAACATGTTTTGCTTCTGTGGCTCTACGTGTTCAGGCCGAATATGTTCGTGTTTGTTTCGACATCCCTTTCCGACGAACGCAAATCTGCTCGTTAAAAAAGGTTGATGAAACACACTAATCAAGCTCGTTTTTTAGCTCGCCTTGATTCCCAACCCTCCTTCCACAGCCTAGACTGCAAGCTTCAGCAGCTAGGGTACCTAGACTCTAATGAAATAGTTGTGGCGGAACAAAAATCTACTTGTTTTATTTCCTTCACTCTCAAACGTCCACCAAGTATAGCCACACCAACCTGGATGCCAAAATCCACCATCCTGGATCATGTGTCTTGAAGACTGCTGATATGGCCAACACGAACATGTTCGCCCCAAACATGTTCGTTTTTGGGCAAACATCAAGGTGTTCACCTCCCAAAGGGGAACACCCGAACACCTTCCTCCACCTTCCTCCCTGGAAGTGTTCGGGCGAACACAAACATGTTCGGTACGCTGAACATGTGTGTCCGATGCAAGGCAAACACGTCACCTTCAAGTTCGCCCCGAACATGTTCACTAGCCCAGGATGTGCATGTTCAAGCTCAACTTTTCAACATCCGTGCACTAGCCCAGGATGTGTAGAATGGGCTACTATTTATGATATGGGCGGCGGTTTCAGCAAGTTTATATTTCCAGCTGGTTTCTTCCCTAAACGCCCTAAACACAAGGCAAACACGAACATGTTCGCCTTGAACATGCTGGGCCAGAAACAATCAAGTGTTCGCCCTTGTGCTCATGTCTACTTGGCATGGTAAAGTATTACAACGTGTTACCATAAATCTCAAATACCAACCTCAAAGCACTTTATTTAGAGCTGAAACCCATTCCCGATCCATAGTTTGAAAACGCTCCATATGCAGCTGCGGTCACATGCTCCGTTCGAGAACCCGTTTCGCATACAGGAACATATCCTCGACTGCAATCACATGCCCACCTGACTACAGCAGCTGCGTGGTCCCACAGACCAATTCAAGTGCTTTTTGCAGTGAGTGCGGCTCCTTCTGCACCACATGTGACAAGCCACCACCAGGTAAGGCTAACCTTATGCTGGTGGCTGCTGCTTTCACAGCCCATTTTTGCTTTGCTCTCATTAGCGCTAAGAGGATGAACAGTGCATAGCCACCTACTTAGCTAGCTTTTCCACTGTCAGGTGCGGTAACAATTACAGCTTCGCTACTCCTCAATATGTGCTTGTTGTATGCATCCTCATGGCTTTTACTGAAGAATACGTGTTTCTATCCTTCATTGCCTTCCTTTGCTTCCTCCCCCCATGCAAACTGTGCCTGATGCCACATCCACTTTCACCAAGCCAACCACCAACCTCATGTTTGATTGCCTTTTCCCTTCCCTCTTTCTGTCTTTCTACCCCATAACTGTACCCTCCCCATCGTCAGTGCCGACACTCTCCCCGTCGCCAGTGCCAACACCCTCCCCGTCGCCAATGCCAACACCCTTCCCGTCGCCAATGCCAACACCCTCCCCGTCGCCAGTGCCAACACCCTCCCCGTCGCCAGTGCCAACACCCTCCCCATCGCCAGTGCCAACACCCTCCCCATCGCCAGTGCCAATACCCTCCCCATCACCAGTGCCAACACCCTCCCCGTCGCCAGTGCCAACACCCTCCCCATCGCCAGTGCCAACACCCTCCCCGTCGCCAGTGCCAACACCCTCCCCATCGCCAGTGCCAACACCCTCCCCATCGCCAGTGCCAACACCCTCCCCGTCGCCAGTGCCAACACCCTCCCCATCGCCAGTGCCAAACCCCTCTCCACCTCCTCCAACGTCATCTCCCAGTGAGCCTACAGCCTCTCTCTCCCAAACTGGAGGCGGTTTATCCAGCGGAGCCATTGCTGGCATTGCTGCTGCTGGCACTGTGGCTGTCCTCGTGCTGCTGGTGCTGCTGACCTGGCTTCTGTGGAAGCGATACCGCACCAAAGGGGCAGCAGGAGGAGACAATACTAGCACCAATGTGGATGGCAAGAAATCAATAAATAACATTTTGTTTCAGGGTAAGATATTTACGTAGATGCTGAGCCTAGATGAAGCAATAACAAGGCAAACGCCAGGCAATCGAAAGAAAATCAGAGTATCATCAAAATCAGAAGATCATAAAAAAATCCAAGAGTAAAAGCTACAAATGCATGTGCAATTTCTCACCATGGAACATTCCAGGTCCTCTCAGATGTCAAGCCGTCTTCTTGGTTGGGACTGACTCATGAGTTTTGGGTTAAAGACTCGAATCACTTGTCCGAACCTTATTTTTGGGTTGCGGCGCAAAACCCCACAAAATTGCATGTAATGGCACTGTCTTTTGCCTGCCGCTCTATGCGAAATAGTCATGAGGAAATGAGACAACCAGACTGGCTAGTTTTTTTTTTTTTTTTTTTTTTTGCAGAATGTGAATTGCCTAGTCCTAAGTTCGGAATAATGGGTCTGGGTCGAACTGGGCAGGTTTGGTTCTAGTTGAACGATCAAAATTCAAGCTGGATATCTGGATTGGGGTTCATTGCCATGGTATCACACAGCCACACAAGTATGGTGTTGAGATGGCAGTACAAAAAGTTGGCGAAACTGTTCACCATGGATGTGACTGAATTCACCTTCTTGTAGAAATTCATCCAGCCTTAACCTCGACTTGTCAGGAATCAACGAATGAAGCAATGGTGCTTGCTGGTCCTTCTTAGGTCATTAGCAATCCAGAGTAGGTGGTTTTAATTCCCAAGCCCCTTGAATTATCGGTCTTCTCTTTCACGTTCACCATCTTTTTTATCTCTTTGCAGTACCAAATAATGAGGATGAGGACCCAGCAGCAGCGGAAGGGGAGGCCGCAGCAGCTGCAGCAGCTGCCGCAGCAGCGCTACCATTACCAGCAGTACAAGGGATGCAGGGTGATGATTTTGTGGTGGAGATGGAGGCAGCACGGCCATACGTGTGTCGAGAGTACTCTTTGGCAGAGATGTCTAAGGCCACAGGAGATTGGGCAGAGGGGAACAGGATAGGAAGTGGTAGCTTTGGGGATGTTTACAAGGGTGTGTCGCCCCACGACTGCAATCAAGCCTGGGCAGTCAAGCGAGCTCGAGTGCTCACGAACGACTTCCAAAGAGAGGTACCATGGTGTGAGTTTTTGTTGATATGTTAGTGGCACGTTTCTCATTAATTTCTTGTGCCAACCCCAAGCATGGCTGGTGGCCTGATTATTCAATCTCCTTCGATATGTTTACTATTTTCCCTCTCAGGTGAAGGAGATGGCAAGCAAGCACCATCCGCATCTTGTGCGTCTGTTGGGCTATTGCATCGACATCGACCTCTCTACACGACTCATGGAGCAGATCCTCGTTTACGAGTTCATGCCCAACCACGACCTTGAGAGCTGGATTGGTTCTGGTGTCTCCCATCCTCTTTCGCTTTGTCAACGGCTTGACGTTCTGATTGGAGTGGCAAAGGGGTTGCAGTATCTTCATGACTTTGGCATTGTGCATCGCGACATCAAACCTGCCAACATTCTCCTTGATGCAAAGATGCAGGCATGTCAATATTGTTGTAGGCCTTGTTGTACATGGTGAAAGATGCCTACTCGTATCCATCCCTTTGCAACTATCATGTGGTGTTTTGCATCGCCTTGCATGCTCTGAATCTTTCACATCAATGCTCTTGTTGTCCATGGGCAGGCCAAGATTGCAGACTTTGGGCTTGTGAAGCTTAGTGGGGGCACTGCTATGGGAACGTCTGTGGCTGCCACACGAGTGATGGGAACACCGGGCTATGTGGACCCTGCGTATTTCAAGTCTCATAAGGCCACTCCGGCAGCAGATGTGCACAGGTGAGCAGATTGGCACAGGTGAGCAGATTGGCACAGGTGAGCAGAGTAGGTTATGCTAGCAAATCCATGCAAGTTATAATGGCATGAGAAAACAGTGAAGGTTAGCAGATGAGCACTTTGGCATGAGAATACTGTTCAAGGAGGCTTCCAAATTTGATGAGAAATGCTCATGAGTTTTGTTTCTTCTAGGGAAGATAGGGTTTGGGTTTCGGGCTTGCAGTGATTTCTATGTTTCCTTTGCCTCACACCCAAAGAAGGTCCATGCCTGACATTGAAGCCATTTCCAAGCGTTCTTACCAATCAAGTAGCTTGGTGATGCTTGGTGATGGGGCTTGCGTGACGATCACTTGTGGAATGATTGGGAAACAAACTTCATTGTGACCATAAAGCTTTTGTACATCTGAGCGTGATTTCAAGTATGATGCCTTTGTTTATTGACGGGTTGCAGTTTTGGCGTGGTGACGCTGGTGGTTATCACGGCGCGCAAGGCTGTGCATGTAACACAGGAAAACCAGATCAATCTCAAACAATGGGTGAGAGACAGAAGTGTATCATGCCAAGGATGGCAGATCTTGTAACACAACGTATGAGAGAGCCAGCTGCACTGCGTAGTGAGTTTGCTTGATAATATCAATGTTTCCTTGTTGCCCTTAGCCAAACATATGTAGGCCAATTCATGCTCTTCTTACCTCCATTCCCAACAGGATACATGCTGCAATGATTAAGACGAGCACATACCTTTGAATCACACCTTGTATCTGTAATAGGATTCACCTTCCTATCATCCTGCTTTCTATGTAGCACTAATTTCCTATAATCATACATCATTCCATCAATCTCTGCGTTGCCACATTTCTACCATTCTTCACAGGTTCTATTTTAATGTGAAACTCTGTGAACCTTTTGTATCACCAAATTCCATGTGATGTATGCCTTTAACCTCGCAGGTGGCCCCGTTGGTGGACTCTGGTGCTGTATTGGCATTAAAGGACCCTCACTTGGACGCACCAGATGACTTGGTGCTGCGCTGGGCTCGCCTTGCCCTCTCCTGCACGGCCATGCCTGCAGCCTCCCGCCCCTCCATGAATCAAGTGCTTTGGGAGCTGGTGAAGTTGAAGGAGGAGGCGTCCAGAGCACATGAGGGCCATGTGGGCGAGGCCAAATCTTGCATTGACATGGAGCTTGGGAGCTCCATTGGCTCCTCCAGCTTCACTGCTGAAATGGCCCGTGCGGAGCGCGAGGGGGGCATGCCAAGTGGCTCTTCCACGTAATCAAGTTTTTTTTCACATGCAGCTTACTGGTTTACCTTGTGCTTCTGATGCCAATTGTTTGCTTCATATAAAAACATGGTATGGGACACTTAGGAACACTGACAGAGGCTGTGGAAGGGTTACTGGTAGCATCGTTTGATGAGCACAAAAATGGGACGGGAAAATTGGCCTGTGTAGTACACTGTAGCTTCAGCTTGTCCATGGGCCAGATTTTATGCTTGTCACCTTCTTCCTGAAACTTTTAGCTGTTGCATGCATGATTTTCTGGATTGTGAATTAGACTCACGTATAGGGTTGTTTAGGGGTTTTTAGACAGAATATGGCTCTTCAAACATCAAGCTTGAAAAGCTAAACATTCCGCTGTATATCCCCTATCCCTCTCCCCACTCACATGCCGCCTCTCCTCTCACACCAGCACTCCTTCCATACCCACCACTCCTCTCATACCCACCACTCCTCTCATACCCACCACTTCTCTCATAACCCCCTATCCACTCTTACCCCCCACCCATACCATTCCCCAACCCCAACTCTTCTGTCATCGCCTGGATAGTAGACATATATGTCTTATCTCGTACACGGGCAAAAATGTTGGGGTTGTCTTGTATTTGGGACAATTAAGGTTGTCTTATAACTCTTATAAATTGAGAAAGAACTGTTTAGAAGATACCCCCTCGCTATACGATTGCCCCTAACCTCTACACTGGCCTAACTCGTACACACAAATAGGTGTCTTTTAATGAGGCGGGCTTGTTTAAAAGAGACACCCGGATAATAGACAACCCGTCTACTATTCAACACTGTCTACTAACCGGGCAATGACGGTATTATACTCCCCACTCCTCTCATAAACTCCCTCCTTTCGTAAACCCCACTTCTGTCATGCCTCTATATTCCTCTCATGCCCCTAAACTCCTACTATACCCCCTCTGTTACTCCTCACTCCTCTTATACCCCCCACTCCTCTCATACCAGCCTCCTCTTGAATCCCCCACTCCTCACACATCCCCTCTTTTCATAACCTTCACTCCTTTCAAACCTCCACTCCTCTGATAAACCCGGTTCCTCTCATACCCCTCACTCCTCTCATACTCACCATACCTCTATGCCCCCCATTCCTCTCATACACCCCACTCACCTCATAACCACCACAATTCTATTACCAGCCATGCCTCTCATACCCCCCTTCTCTACCCACCCCCCCACTCCTCCCATACCCCCAATTCCTCTCATGTCCCCAACTCCGTTTACACACCCCAATTATGTCATAGACCCCACTCCTCTCATACCCCCCACTCTTCCCAATCATTTTATTCCAAGTAGTCGCTGTTTCTTATGATATTGCTTTCTATGCATGCGCTCCTGTATTGAGCCTTTGGACTCCTGCACCATTGTCTCGTCCACTCCCTCCATGCACTATGAATATTTTAGATTAGAAGAACCTGTGCAAGAGCAAGATGCTTGCGCTAGACTTCTAGTGCTGTTTAGAAATTATAAAGCCTGTTCATAAAAAGTGCTACCGTACTAACCATAAGCTTGATAGATATTTGTGAATTGCGCATATAAAATGGTATCTTTGATTAGATCTCCTAGCCTGATTTGTCATTGACTGTGCTCACACACGTGACATCTTCCAAGCTAACCAATTTGTAACATTTCTGATTCATTGCTCTCTATTCTAGATGAAAACACATCATTCAAACAAGGCAGTGCAGATGGTTGTGAACCATTTTAATTTGGAACAGTGCAAGTTACTGTGTTGTGGAATGGATGGAGCACGCACAGGTTAAGGTTAATAAAATCTTAATTGATACAATTTGTAGTTTGAACCATAATGCATTGCTTGACTACGAACTCAACCTTCAACCGCCAAGAAATCATGAACGTATGTTTATCATGGCAGGAAAAAAGGCAGGGAGGTGAGGAATCTGAATGCTAAGAAGTAGGACACACTTTCTAGTAATGTACCTAACCTCTCATGAGAGCCAGTTCAGCATCGAGAGTCCCCTGCTCATTGTTCTGGGTGCCAATCTTGGCCTTGTGGCTGCTAAATATGGCTTGTTGAGGCTATAGCGCCAATGGTACTTAGGTCAGTTGGTTGCTGACGGTAGGGTGGGGGAGGACAAAGGGTAGTGTGGGAGATTGTGTGTATCTCGTGTTTATGGAAGGCATTGCCCTGCATCCTACCTGCACCGACGACTGGCCTCAGACTGACATGAGGCTGACATGAGACTGACCAGAAACTGACCAAAAGACTGACCCGTGTTTGACCTTAGACTGACCTGAATCTGACCTTATTTGACCTAAGACCAACCTGAAACTGATACGAGACTGACCTGAAATTGACCTGAAATTGACCTGAGTTTGACCTAAGAGTGACCTGAAAGTGACCTGAGAGTGACCTGAGAGTGACCTGAGAGTGGCCTGAAAGTGATATGAGACTCTCATTATGAGAGTTTCTAGAGCGATCTGAGTGTGACCCGAAAGTGACCTACGACTGATACAAAACCTTCTCCCCCCATGTACTTGACTGGCGAAGCTAAAGAAGGCATTGAACACAAAGGGCGTGCTGCACGGGCCAGGGTTGTCGATGAAAAGGAAGAGGCACATGGGCGCTGCACTGTGCTGCTCCTGACGTGTTGCTGGTGGGGGGGGCGTGAGGATGATGGTGCCATTGAATGGTTGCGCTGCTGTACGTGCCAGGGAGACTGCTGTTGTCTGTGATGATTTGGTTGAAGGGAGAATTGCAGGGTTATCCAAAGCAAGGCAAGGCAGATGGGTGCAAACGGAACGGAAGAAATATGCTTGGATGTAAATAAATCAACACCAGGAGTTCGAGAGGTTTCAACTGCGATGCAGCTGTAATTGTAACAATTACGAGGAATGAGCAGGGTATGCAACGCAATCAAAGGGCACAACAAGAGAGTGCCATCTGCTTCTTACACCAGATCACTCGGTCTCTCCCAAAACTTGTGTATACATACCACTGTAGGAGCACGAGGGCAGTCCGGCCTGGTTGTCGAAGTTTCTATCGCAGGTGTATACTGATTCCTGCACAGACTCACTGAAGGAGCACATGCCATGCCCGCTGCACAGGGGTTGGCAATCCCCAGCAGCAACCCCACAGAACGCACCACACTCCTCTGCACTCCTCTGCTCCAAGTAGTCTCCAGGCGCCTGGGATGCGTTGAGCAGACAATGCTCAAAGGCATTGCCAAGGTAGGTGTGGTTGGCCTCGGGCGGGATGATGGTCCCGTGGAAGAAGAAGTTGCGGTGAGTGTAGGGTAGGTAGGGCGGGAACTGGTTGGCTGCAGGTAGGGCGACAGGGGCAATGGCAGTCACCCTGTCACTGGTTGGCTGACATGTAACTGTAAAGAAGGGGGGGCGAGGGCAGGGAGAGCCAAGGCGAGGAGTGGGTGGGAAAATGGCGCATGAGCGGGGGTGTGACAAGAGTAGATGAGAAGTGAACACGCACAGGGTGGTGCAGAGGAAAGATGCAGTGTTCTGTTGGAAGAATGTGTTTGATGCTGGTCAGCAATTACCAGCGCGCAAGCAGATGAGCCTTGAACGTACAGATAAACCATCGGACCAAAGGAAGGGGCTTGGTGTAACAAGCATTTTCAGTCCTATCAGTAGTCCTCCCCAATCCAATGCTCTCTTAGAATGGGCTCTTTCAGGACCCCCTCAACACACCAAGGCAAGTAACAAATGGCACATGGCCCATTGGCACATGGGACCTGGGACATGGCAAATAGCACATGGTGCATGCCATGTGCGATTCCCCCCATGCACGTGCAGCGTGACAAGGCTGGTCATATTGCGTGTGATCGCCAGAAAGGACGTTCCTGTTTAGGTAGCTGGAAGAAAGCACATCTGAAGACAACTCGTGAATGCGTGCATGGCATGGCAGCACTTGGACTCCCATCTAGCAGGTTTGAGTGCGCTTCCTAAGGCCCTCAGCGGAGGTAGCATGGAGAGCTGTTGTTGCATGCAGTTGCGTTGCATACAAGCATGATTTCAACTACATGTCAAGGTTGGTAACTTGGATAAGTGTGATTGGACCAGACGCCAAGGGACACTGGATACAACAGCAAGCAGCCAGGGTGCATACACAAAAGGCCCAAGTTCTTAAGGAGAATGATCTGGGGACCGTGCCCCTGAGCCCCACGCCCTCCAGCTACCTGAACCCACAGCGTGGAAGACGTTGTGTGCACACGTGATACATCACAGACTATGATGATGGTCCGATAAGGGAGTCCTTGAGTGAACGAGAGAGAGCGCATTCTATTGCAGTCTGCATATATGTCTTTAACACGCAATGTCTCAGTACCTTTCTGATGACTCTTGTCCTCAAAGCTACTGACATAGATTGATGCAAAGCCAAGGAGACTCAGAATCATACGTGCACAGGAGGTTGCACCAGCAACACACCAGGCAAGCAAGGCAAACACCAAGAGAGAAGCTACAGGGATGGGTTATGGTTGGCGAAATGTCAAGGTGACTCAGGGTTCCAATAGAGGTGCTAGGTTCGACCAATGTTTGACCGTGCCAGCTCCCTGTAAATACATGGCTTGATTAAACACTAGGTTGGGGATAAGAAAGGAGAGCATGATTTCAGCATGCTACACGTGTCTCCTATCGTGATGTGATAGGCCTGACAAGTAGCACGAGCGCTACAAACATCAGAGCGGACAGATGAGAGAGCTACCAGATAGTGGGTTTTGGCGAAATCCATTATCATAAACCACTGCCTCTGTCCTTAGGGCAGTGTCCTTATGAAGCAGGGGCCAAAACGGGGGAGTGGAGGTCTGTAGACTTAAATCTCGTTCTGGATCCATACACTATGTTTCGGCTGTACCCTGTGCACACAATGAATCTCTCGCAAGCATAAAAAATTGTCTATGATTGTATGTTGAACCCTAAAGCTATAATGATTGGTGTCAAGCGTCTATTCAAGACATTACTAAGGCTGGAGTACGGTAGGGAAAGAGGAATTTTCG